TACATTTAAAAATATATCAATACAGTATAATATTTCCTAACACTAAAAAAATCTTACAATATAAAGAAAGACCTCAAAAAAGACGTTAATTTCGTTAGAAATTTTCACAATAGTTTTAAATAAAAAAATTTGCTGTGTAAAAGTTATTATGTAAAATAAAATAGAAATTTTTTTTCTAACATCGCTTATGGTCAAATACTCAGTCGCTAATACATTTTAAGATGTCGTTAACTCTCGTGATGTCGCAGTTACTTTGAATTAGTGACAGACATAGCACGAAACTTAAAGGCATCTCAGAATTGAGCGGCGTTTGAATGTTCGGGCATGAGTGTTTCAAAATTTGGCAAAAGTACATGTTTTCCTTTAAACTTGTATTTTATATTATATGATATTTTATACTATATGATATTTTTTATTATATGATATTATATTATATGATATTTTATATGATAATTGATCTTAATATTTACAAAATTTAATTAATTGAAAGATTTCACTGCCCCAGCCCATCAAACTTGCACGTAAAGTCCACATCCTATTTTTTTTTAAATTCATATTCCGCAAGTCGAATCACTGAGTAAAGGGTATATCCGGCTTGCAAGAAATTTAAATAAAAGTATTAAACGATCCGTTGCTGTCGCGGAGTGCCCAACGACCCAGCTACACAACCGAGACGCATCCCTCTGTAGCACGGACTGATTAAAATTAATGAGTAAACTGTAAAAGTGTTAGCAGACAGTTGGATAATTTGCACGCCGAAATTGGTCCAATCCGTACCAAGTCCAACCACGATCGAATCGTTCGAGCACATTGCAACAGCAATCGTTAAAAACCTTTCACTTAAGCTTCTTGTAGCCAACATATTCCCTTCACCCTACCACAAAAAAGCAATAGTTAAAAATATCTTACTACATAATTTACAAAAGTAGTATATGTATGTATATAACAAACTTAATATACGTTTATTGACCTTAGAACTTACTACAATAAACTGTTAAAATTAAATTTCAGTATTTTTACTTTTCAAGTCAATTAAAAACAACTTATATTTTGTTACAGTGAATTGAGAAGAGGCAGAATGAAAATCACAGATAGACGTATAGACGTTTTCATCTACAATTTTATAACTAACGATTATCCTAATTTTACAGCATTATAACATATTATAATCATTGTCAACAAGGAAAATTTTATCTTTTAAAACTAAATTATAAGCCCTAACGACTATTTTCAATTTATTATTAGCTCAAGTTTATAATTTTGCATAAAGAAATGTGCAATATGCAATATGTACTGTGGTAACAATTGACATTTCATTACTAAGCAGAAACGTAAAGATATTAGAGTTCTTATTAATAGTGCATAAAGTAAGAGATTAGTCTACTCCAATTAATTCTTGTCTTTTATATAATAATAAAAGCAATAAAATAAATATGAATTCAGTGGAGAAACCAACCTTTCATAAGCTAATGCTAGTGTAGTAATTCAAACAAATATATACTTAAATGGAAAATAAAGCACATTTACATGTATTATGGTATCATGCCGAGATCCTCCTTTTAACCTTCTGCAACTTACCCCTTGCGCATGCGATTTCTATCGAATCAAATTCGTACCGCCATGAAAAAAATTGTATGGCAAAACATAATTCAAATAACGTCTGCCAGGGACGCTGATCACATTTTCATACAATTTCAGTCGACAACGATAAGAAAACATTGGTGCAGATATGTGCTAAGAGTAAGTGCAGTGATATCCCCAATTCCAGGTCTTCGAAACATTATTCCAGAGTCTGATATAAAACCCGTACAAAATGAAAAACTAGATAATAATTCAATGAACATAGCTAAGAATACGAGCTACAGTGTATAGGCTTATAAACTACCATAATTCAATAGCATAATTTTACTCATACTTATGATAGTACTAAGAAATATATAATCTGCTTCTTAATTCCGGGGACTAAATGGCATTTATTGTCTTGCTACTTTTTGCATATTTTAACCATCTGAATGAGTCACAAAACCGTTAATGTTCTACGATTGAAGTAATCGGCAGAATAGAGATGTAATACGCTAATAAATGTAGCAATATTATTTTCCAGTCTGACCATTCGTAGTTTTCAATTAAGTCTACAGAATAAAAGAACAAATTATTGTGTAATAACTATATAAATATATCAATTGAATGAAACTGGTCACGGGGTTACAGGTTTTATCACGTTTAATCTATTTATTTTATATTTCCGACGTTTTTAATACGATGGGACTGCTATGACATTTAGACGTCGAACACCTTAGTCGCCCGTGACCGTGGGTGTTGCAAAGTATTCGAAACTTCTGGACTATAAAATAATTTCAATAAACGCGATAAAATTCGTAAAAAACCAGTTTCCTAAGAAGTGCATTGTTCACATATATTAAATATATCAATGCTACACATACACTACACAACAATACTAATGACATTACGCCTAGTACTAAGTCAATAAATATATTAAAATAAAAGCAAAACCGATACAATGTACTAAAGTGCTTAATGACTACTCCCGAAATTCTAAATAATTGACGCACATGCACGGGAGTGGAGATAATATTTTATAGAGAAATGGCAAGGTTATCGTAGAACACTGGTTTAGACTTTAAAAACAATCAAGACCTTAATGAATGGAGACAGTACTACTATTATAATATTGGTGCTATATACCTAACGAATTTTGATATTATTATTCTATTTTTCGATTTTTTTCACAGATAAAAATGATAAGCAATGTTTTTACCTACTGTGCAAAACTTTTGAAAAGCTGCTTCTCGAGAAGCTTTCTCGAAAGAGACTCCCTTCCGTTATATTTCTCTATAAAATGTATCTGCAAATGAACCGTGTCAAGTGGTCCGAAATTCATGTTTTAGAAGCTGTTTTACAAAAAAATCCTAAAGGTAAAACATTTAAAGCAGTTTTAAATAAATAAAGACATTACAAATATGTAATTACAATCCCTTAAAAAAAGTTTATGAAAAAAATCTAGAGTATTCGTTTGGAAGAAAAAGACAATGCGTCTTTTTAAAAACACAATAATCGCGAAATTTGACAAATTTCATGAGCACTTCCCGTTTTACTGCATATTTACGAGGACATTGTTTCGTGAAATATATTATATTTTATTTATAAACTACTATTTGTAACAAGTCGGAATGATTTGTAGGTATAACAGCTCCCAAAACGATTAATTAATTTACAACAATATGACGGTGCGTCAGGATTGTATCACAATGTGTTATGTGACGTTCGACTTTCATATATCTCTGCCTTAGCTATATAAGTTCATATACGACTTCTAATTTATATACCGTGAAACAAAATCAACGCTCATATTTCACTCAACCCTAACACAACTATTCCCAATATGTGCGAGCCATTCCGAAATGGAGGACAGCTCATAATTCCGTTAGAGTGGTCGAAGTAGAGCGTAGAAAAATGCTTTAAAAGAAGAGGCAAAAATCACGAATGTCATATTATCGAGTATTACCTAATTAACAGTCTTTCGAATGGTAATAACAAATTTATAGTCCGACATCTCAACAGAGATAGTAATTTCAGACTTAATACATTCGACACGAATTCTCTACATTGTCATGCTCCTTCTTGATTTGAATGAAGGACTAATCGTAATGTTAAAATGCTAAAGGATATAAGCATGACTTGTTCCGTGAGAAAATAACTTATTTCTAGTGTCCGTGCCCAAACTTTGGTCTCAAACTTAATCTCTTTACAAACAAAATGTATTAAATACATTTATGATTTTGGTTTTCAATTTAACATAGCTATCGTAGCTATGACATAATAACTCTCATATAATACATCTTATTCATAAAAAACTTAGTTTGATATAGCAACTTATTAACACTTAAGCTACATATATTTTTGTATTTTTACTAAATATTTTTTTATGTTAAATTATATATATGGGCAAGTAAATGAATTATGATGTGTTGGAAACAAACTATGCGTACATTGCTAAATAAAAAAATGTCGCTAAATAAAGTCAAAGGAACTTTTTTTATTTAGAAATACAAAATCATTAGCACCAAGTCAGACTTAGAAGGGCGAAATTTTCTCTAAAATTCCCAATAGTATTACAAACGATAAAATTAATCATTGGATTACAAAACTGTTGCTACAAGAAGAATACAATTTTATTATTAAATTTAATTTAAAAAAATATGCGAAAATCATAATTTGTCTCTCAAATTTTCAATTATATTACAAAAGCTAAAATTAATCACTGAATTACATAACTGTTTCTAGAAAAACAATACAATTTAATTATTAAATGTAATTTGAAATAATTTTGCGAAGAAATTTTCTCTAAAATTCTTAATAGTTACAAACGCTAAAATTAATCATTGGATTACATAATTGTTTCTACAAGAACATAATAAATTTATTGTTAAATATAATTTGGAATAATTACGTCTTTAAAAATAGATTCCCTTAATTTGGTAACAAACAGTAAAGTATTGAAAGCTTTCAATGAAACTTAATCGATAACATTGTAATCCCAATTAACCGTGCAAATTAATTATTACAAAGCGAAACTAAAGCACTTTATTTACATACAATAATAAAAATATTACTTTTATGTGTACCTATTATACCTACATTTTCTTATATACCATGTTATAAATATTATTTATTATTTTAGTGTTACATGTTATAAGTATTATAGTTATATACGTTGACTAAAAATGAACATTAATTAAATATAATATGTCAATTATCACTTTTTACATATTTATTCAGTAGGTAACAAGTAAGGAAATAGTGGAAGTGTACATATATTAATAATTCAATTTATTATATCATATAAGAAGTTTGACGAATACCACAAGCAAATTCAACTTATTGGTTGACGTTCCCTGTTATGATTCCTTAGTGCATTATCCCTCACGTCGAAAGTTCCAATTTCTATAGTGATTCCTAACATCGAGAGTTTTAATCATTTAAGTGATAACGAGACGGGGCGTTGGCAATACGTTGGAGTGTTCGGCGAACGTCATGGCCGCCATCCACTTCAGCTGATCTTCCGTCACCGCTCCGGCGATTGTACAGCCGAACCACGGACGCTCCTTGCTCCTGTAACAAAACAAAAGATCCACACCAATATAGATAATCCTCTCCGCTAACTGATCGGGAAACCCATTTACCGTTAACATTGCAGTCTATTAAAACTCCACTGCTGAACATACCTAGGGATATACATACAAGGCCTCGACCTCGTAGATTACCTCTAAAGAGGGTAATTTGCCATAGCTGCCACAGCTGCCACATCTGCCACAGCTGCCATACCTGACAAGCGTACGGCAACGCTGGCACTTTTGATATTCATTTTTGTGTTTTCACTCAAGTATGGCCACTCAAAACGCCAAAAAGTACTACATAACATACGGGTGCTTAAATAACAATAGGAATGCCTTTCATTCTTTACTGTTTCAAAGGATGCTACTATTATTTATAGATAGATGTAGATAATTAGGTACCTAGTTACTGATGCCATAGTTACAGATTTATTACTTGATTAGCGACCCGCATACAGCTTCGTAGTTTTAGATATTTTTGCGTATAATGTCAATGACCCTAAAAAGTCATTAGGTGTAAGTAATAATGCAAGATCATCATTGGTTATAATTAAATAGTTGGTCGATAAAAGAAAGAGATTGAAAATAGCAGCACTTCTCATTGTCACTCTTGCATTAATAGTGTCGTCGCGAGTCGCAAGTTGAGACAGAATATGGTAAGTAGGTAAATGATCAGAGTGTCACGTTTTGACGTATCTGACGTTCACGCTGTTGTAATTTAAATTTTTCTCGATGTTGCATATTGATTTCAGTATATTCTACTACTAATTAATATTAATTCAATTTGTCACGTGTACTATGTACTCTTTAATTGCTATCAGATATAGATTACCATAAAATTACTATTAGACTGTTTTTGAACATGGCAAGCAAATATGCAGAATTTTTAAAGTTATGAAATAATGATAATTTGAGTAAAATAATAATATGCATTGGATCAAAAATTTAATAATTCAATGCTATTGTTACTAATAAAAAACCAGTTTATGTACTATATTTAGGCGGGAAGAATGTACTATAACTAGGATTTATAACATTTAAAACGGACAAAAACGACACATTTAAGATTTATAATTTTAAAATAAACAATAAAAATTTGTAAAAAAATATGTAAATAGATGTGTACATTATAGAATAAAGAAACTCATTCGGCATCCGAAATGGAACTACATAACTTTGGGGTTTAACCCCCCTCCCTCATGATAAGGACACTTAGAGATTTTTACTTACTTATTACTTACACACTTACTTACTTAGAGATTACTGTAAATTAGCCAGTAAGTTATTGACTGAAGATAAATAAATTTAATTGAATTCAATGGATAAAACTTCCACAACCTTAAACCTTCCACATTCAGCCTCTCCATTACCCAGCTGTTTGTCTAGACTTTAATTAACTCACCGTTTAGGTTTATTGTTCCTTGGTATGAAGGTGATTGACCATCGTGACTGTGGGTTCCTTTTGGGTTCATGGCCTATGTACCACAGTATATCTTTCACATCCCACTCCTCAATCTTATGGGAGCCCTAAGACAAAAATAATATTTTCTATAATTTATTTGATTCGAATAGCTATTTGCAGTTTCGATTAAAGACGTTTTCTTGCTAATATTAAGATAGCTATTAAAACTAATTAAATGGATTCCATCGAGTTTAATTATATTTTTAACTCCCGACGTTTCAAGTGCATTGTAATAATGTTTGATGTTGAAAAATAAAAATAGATTAATTAAACGTAGCACTCGTATAAATATAACCAATCATTAACTTACTTGTTTATCCTTGAAATAGCAAAGCTTCGTTTTATTAAATTCGAACATATGCAACTTAAATGCTTTCGAAGACTCGTTGGCTAAGCGCAGTTCCCCACAAACGAGGGACGTGGTGTTTCTTAACGCGTCCATCTCATGGAGGATCTTGTTCTCCCTCACTAGGAGATAATTGTCCTTCCTGTCTTCCTCGTCCCAGTATCCCCAACGTAGTACAACGTCAAATACAATCTCGTCCAAGTGAACGATTCGACGCATGGACTCGTTGCATATCACTTCCTCAAGCATTAGCAAATGGGACTCCATATTAGCTTTCTCGCAGAGTTCTATACACACGTCGGCACTGGTCTTATTCGGTGTCAACTATAAGAACAATGTTAAATTATTTATAAAACCGATTTATGATAGAGTAAAATAAATGAAATATAAACAATTAAGTCCTACTACTATTATGTTCGTAACAAATTTTTACATTGTGTAAAAGTAAAGTAAAGTAAAGTTACAGCCTATATACGTCCTACTGCTGGTCACAAAGCCTCCTCTCATTTCTGAGAGGAAAAGTAAAGTGAATTCACACAATCCTTAAAAACTATTTAAGTAGTTTACGGCTTCATAGTGATTTGGTTGGCTCAGTGTCCATCCATGACAAAACAGAGCAATTACATATCTACTTTCCATTATCAAAAAATTGGGATCATTCCATTTCATTTCTCTTGTTTTTTAAACCACTGCAGTGAGAAACCAGTTTGCTTTCAAACCGTACAGTAAAAAGTATATTTACAGAATATATACGTTCCACAGCTGAGCACAGGCCTCCTATCATATCTGGGAGAATTATGAAAGAAGTTATTTCGTCGATATACATACGAGTCACAATATATATATATATATATATATATCCTTAAAAAAACGACCTTATAAAACGTTACAACAAAAAAATATTTTATAGAAGCAAACGAACATGCGGCTTACCTGATGGTAAGTGGCTACCGCCGCCCATGAATAACTACAACACCAGGGGAATTACAGGTGCGTTGCCGGTCTTTTGAGTTAAATTAGGGCTTGATGCGATGCAAGAGCCACATTCATAAGTAAGTACAAACCTCGGCTTAGACCTCCTTCGGATCCTGTTAACTTTTGAGCCGTCATTTCAAACAAATACGAGATAACTGCATTTAAAATGTATATACATAGGCAAGGCAGGCATTTCTAAGAGGGTTATGGAGCAATGATTCTGTGTTGATGCTGATGGAGTCTTCAAAAAAATTTTATTCTTCAGAAATGCAAATTTCCTCATGATGTTTTCCTTCCCGACGAGCACGTGGTAAGTTATAGCATTAAATATTTAAAATTAACTATTTTATATATATATATATATATATATATATATATATATATATATATATATATATATATATATATATATATATAATGTAATAAGTAAGCGGCATTAGTGCAATATTATGATATCATATATGAACTGATTTTTAACTGTATTATCCCTCCTGATGCTAATTGATGGTGCAGCCATAGACAGTAAAGCGCACTTGACCAAAACCTAATCACTTTTGTCTATATTGTAATCGCATGGAGATACAGATGCTGGTAAGCTATTCCAATCCTCTATAAATCGCACATCATTTATGAATAATGAAATGAAACAAATCGTTCGGTTATATTGGTAAGTTCACAACGAAACGGTAGAGACTGGTCGTCGTTCTGGTTGTACGTTGATGGAAGAAAGGGGAGGAATTAAATTATGTTATAACACTGTAATACAAAATTTTGTTTTTAGTCCAGGCGGTGACCATCGAAAAAGGTTGGTCATCCGGAATAATTAGAAATATATACAATTTTATTTTCAGAGTAATAGTTAAATAATAAACCAGAGTGTGGTGGTTTATAACTTGTCCAAAATCATTTTTGAATTCACTTTTGTTAATTGTTTTTTTTTTTTGCAAAATTGATATATAAAAAGTAAGCGTATTTTGTTTTATAGTGTTTGATCAGTAAATAATGAAAATTCAGATCTGGTACCCTTATTTTAACAGAACTGTTTGAATTTTTTTTTTTGATATAAGAATTCATTGAACATCAAAATTTTAATTATATTTTTAATAAGATTTTTATAACATATTTAAATTTATAAGATACTAGCTTGCCAGGCAGACGTTGTTGTGCCCTTTTCGACAACCCTGTCATGTTCTATTAAAAATCCTTAACTTCGCAAAAAAAATTGTGTGTAAAAAAAACTATCCTATCTCTCAAGTTGGACCAAACTGCATACGGTGTGCAAATTCGGTTAAGCAGTTTAGGAGTCCATCGCGGACAAACAACGTGACACGTAATTTATATAATTATGTTAAGATTAAGATTAAGATAAATAATGTAACAATCCTTTAAATATTTATATATATTAATATAAGAAACAATTCAATGTAAAATATGTTTTTTATCCATCTTTTGAATATAATTGGTCTGGTACGCAAATATTTGACCGCAATCTCGCCAAACCAAGAATAAGAGGGTCATTTGCTTCAACTTGTTAAGCGCAAGCTTGTTTTATCTTATCAATTCTTTGATTTCTTAATAATTATTTAAGAATTTCTAATGACGGAGTATCACATAAATAATTTTACCACTACGAATAATTAATTGAGCAGAATATTTTTCGAAAAACTATCTATGCGAAAAATTTGCATGTTTTAATTTTTTTAATTTTGAAATACCTTGGTAAAATATTATTATAAGACGCTACTTTCGTATAATAACAACAAGAAGAGCACAAGACCAAAACTTTTAGAATTTCTTTTTTCTAGTGTTTTTCAGTTAAGAATTTTTTCAGATAAGTTAATGATTTACTCACGTAACTTCTTTGTTCAACTTTTGTTTGCTACTTCATTAGTTCTAAGTCATTATTTGCTGAGATATCCGATTTGAAATGAAAAACAATTCTATTATGTTCTATTATCTATTAATTGATGACCTATCCACTGAACTATATATTTTAGGAAAGTTTTATAAAACGGAATAAAATTTTCAAAAGATTCTTTCATAATGTTTAAACATTTTTAAATCCTCAAAATTTATTTGAAATAATTACAACACATAATGTTGTATTGTATTTCAAATTAAAATATTTGATAATATATTAAAAAGAACTAAATTGTGTTTTTATTTAACGTTTAATTTATAAAGTACAGTCGTCATAATTTATTTTATTATACAAAGTATTTTTAGTTTATTAATAATCATCATTTTCCTCTGCAGAATAATTTACGGTGTTATTAAATGAAATATCTTCACCGTCTGGGATGGTTCCGTCGATATCATTGGACAAAATTTGTTCAATGGTTACTGGCATAGCTTCGCCTTCAAACCATTTTAGTGTTGTAAGGGTGGTCCGGCAAACATTTGTGTCAACCATAAGGGTGCCAGACTCGAATTTTCATTATTTACTGGTTAAACTCTATCAAATTAAAAAAAATTAAAAAAATGACAAATTATAAACTACCAGAGCGCTGGTTTGTTATTTAAACCAATACCCAGGAAAAAAAAAAGTATATTTTTCTAATTATTCCGGATGACGAAGCTTTTTCGACGGTCACGACGGACTAGATACATTTTCCGAAATGAACACTGAAACAAAAATTTACTGGTTACCTTTCCTCTGCGAGACTGTGCCAACTGCGCTTGTCTGTCCTTCTAAAAAGAGTGTACAGTACAGCACGATAACGTAATGGATGGTTGACACTCACGGTGACTTGGTAACAGTTGGTGTGCTCGTGAATATAGACCCAGGCACGTAGATCGCCGGCCGCCCGCGGAGCCACGGGCGCTGCTGAAGCGAGCACGCGCGAGAGCACGCGCCGCACGGCCGCCTCGCGTCGTTTCTCAGCCTCTGTCGGCTTCCACACCGCCTCGTAGTTCGCGATCAGATCGCGCACCACGTACACCTCCTTCGACGACCACGCCGTTTGCAGCGTGTTGCTAGTCTAGTGCACAAACAATATCACAATAACTGCTTACCTAACTGAAAAATGTTTTTTCGTTGATGGATCGTAAAATTATAAATAATTACTTCTAAAAAAATTGAACATAAGATTTGGCCTATACAAATCAATCAATAATCCGAATAATTTAAAAACTGAAAATCATTTAAGAGACAATATTTCTTTAACAGAATGATTGGCAAATAATGCCGATAGCCATTTAGTATGCCCATTATTGTTATATTGACTGCCTCGTTGGTCTAGTGGTTGTAGTAGTGCGACTGCTGATCATGTGGTCCTGGTTTCGAATCCCGAGTTGGGTCAAAAAATCAATTATTGAATTTTTCCGTCAAGAAATTCTTAGTACCTGCCCGGAGTCAGGAAGTTGGCGGTGTCTCACCCACGTGCCTCCGAAAGCACGTTAAGCCGTTGGTCATGCGCGTGATCTCTCTCCGGTCGTGTCGATTTACCGTCCCATCGGATTATGACAGTGAGGGAATAGAGTGTGCTGTGCTTGCGCATACACTTGGGCACTATAATCCTGTCATGCGCCGATAGCTAGCCTCCGCGTTGAGGCAGGCCGCCGTGGCCGAAATTCAGTCTGGAGGACATTATTATTATTATTATTGTTATATAAACCTCAAATTAATTCAAAAATGAATAAATAAATAAAATATAGTAAGTAAAACCAACCATTCATAGTAATGTTAATTTTTTGTCATTAAATTACACGTGATCTTAATAAAATACCTCACCACTAAGTTCTCATTGTAATACGTGTATGATAAAGACTATCTATAAATATATTTTAATAGTCTTTATTACCAAAGTTATGGTACTAATTTTTGGTTACAAATCAACACAGTCTTCCATAAGAGGCATCAATCATTTTTAACTAAACTAATATAACTAAATTAAACAATATAAAAGCTCTAAAAATAAAGAACATGAGATCTTGAATAAAAAAACGTAAAAGAATCTAAAGTTATCATTAAGAATAAGCACAGTCTTTGCAGGAAAAAATTGCGTGTTCAAGACAAATGGCCTTTCCAAAGCTTACGAGTATATAATATACGTGTTTTACGATCTTTTTTCCAAATTTGACTTTCATCCAAATTTGACTTTCAGCCAAATTAAATTAGAAATTATAAATTAAAATCTAACGAAAATGTTCTTTCTAAGAATTCTATATCTAAAATATCAACATTATGTCCGTATGAAAAAGTTTTGTTAGTAAATACAGAGAAACAAAAAGTTTCAGTACAAGAATTACAACATCAATCTAAAGAGATAATTAAACGGGACCAAAGATGCAACGAGACTCGGTTTACAGAAGTTTCGTATAATGCAGATGAGATAAGCTATCTATATCTATATAATGTAAATGTTTTATCAAACCTAAATTCTCAATGGTCTTATTTTTTTAGCAATTGAAATGTGACGGTAAATGGTAGTAATAGTAATTGTATATTTAATAATTGTACATTAAAAATTCAGTTCAAGCTAAAAATGTACAAATTTTTTTAATTACTTCATGTCAAATATTTTTTTTAAATTTCTTGATCAATAGTTTAAAGTAAGTTCTAATAGATATTACTAATAAAGTTCTATTGTTCTGAATTTATTTATTACGTTTCAAAAAATTTTATTTTTTTAATTATAAAATATTATAAATTTTATGCGTGACTTAAGTAAAACATACCGTACAATAATAGGCTAGTAAGTGAGAGTTGTATTAACCGTAACCGTGGTTTAAATCACCGTGTGCTATAAAAGAATATTATTACTAGCAAGCATTGTCGCAAAAATATTATTTTACTTTGGGTATATTGTTTGGGTATATTGTTTGCATATTTGTAGCTCTATATCACTCAAAGGACAATGAAACTGAAGGATTAGATTGAATTTTGAGCCAATATATATTTTTACATATCATTATATATCTTTTTTCTCTATATTTTCACACCTTTGCACCTTGACTTGTACGCTTTAATTTCACGCGAGCACTTCACGGGTATTAGTTTCTATGCATCATACGTATGTAAAAATTAAAGTAAAAAACGATAGCTACTACCAACATTGATTTAAAATAATTACTAAATAGAAGTTTTTACGAACTACTTTATCAAAATATTTTTGATAAAGTAGTCCGTATCATCTAATAAAACTCAATTATAAGAAAGAAGAAATAAATTTGAACAAAGAATAGGAGGGCAACGGGCAGTAAACCGGTCGTACTTAGGAGTGTTGGATGGCCGACGTCTAGTCAACCGTTCCAGGTTTCGCTGTAGTAGGAGGAAAGGACCCACGTACTTCAGACCTGAGACTTGTAGGAGTTGACTAAGGACAGAAGCGGCGTTTTTTACTGTCGGAGGCCAGGACTCATTTTGTCACGCTACGTTAGTAAGCTAGTTATGAGAGCGTAGCGTGACCTTTTTTTAAAGAAGAGATAAGCAAACGAGCATGGAGCTTTCCTGATGGTAAGTGGCTACCGCAATCCATGAACAACACTTCGCGATAGAGTTGTGCAACTATTTAATATGTTTATTAATATTTCTTATAACTAGCAATATCTTATACAGGTTTAGATTAAAATAGATGTTTCTTCTGTTCGTTTAAAAAGAAACCGTACTTTAATCAATAATAATTCCATAGCAGATGCATTTGTCCAGCTTAATTGCTATTACTCAGATGAAGAATGCAATTCCGCTTCATTTGAAACGCCGTAAATCAATAACACTATTTGCCGTCGCGCCGTCGCGTCGCCCCACCTTGTCTCCACGCCACGACCCCCATAGCCAATCAAAACGAATTTCAATCAAATTTCCTGAATCCGTATTTCCACGGACTGCAGACGCGAGAATCGCTTAGACTAATAAAATAACGTCTGCCAGTTGAAATGGAAATGGCGAATTGGAACTTAATCTTTTGAAAGCACTTTTACATATCTAAGTACTTTTATATACATACCTACAATAACACGTGTTATATAAAAAGGATTCGCGTACCATTTAATTGTAGCACGTACAGTGTTCACTTATCGGTGGTATGTATTTGGTAAAAATAAAATTTTTATGTAATTGCGAATGACTAAAACTTTTGAATACTATCAACAATTTTTACCGAAAGGGGCTTTAATTTATTTGAATCCTTTGAATTGTGTCAAAAGCGAAAATCAGATGGTAACTGCATATGATATAATATCCAGGATTTGTGTAATTAGCCCTATTGGTGCAAATAAAATGAATAAGGACGAATATCTTCACCACACAACATTTCGGATGTCAGAGATCTTAAAGTTTCCTTAAACTCTGTGTGTTGATATTTTATATTTAAATAATATACAAAATGTTAAAAGCCGAATTTACTTCATAATTTAAGACATCAAAAGGATACGTAACATCACAATTAATAAATTACTATACTCGTCATATAATTGGATTTTGTTACTTTTAGTAGCTTCCAACAACTAGGTTGATTTCCCAATTAAATTGGTTTTAATATGATAATTTTATAATGTAATTGAGGAATGGAATAGGTAGCGATGAATAGAAATAAGGTTCACATTTTATCCAGAAATAGAAACCATACATACCAAAGCAGCAGGCATGATGGTGGGCGCCCATACTGAGGCGAGATTTTCCGCGCTCATCTTGTTGGCGTGAGACATGCTTTGAAGGAAGTTGAGATGTGCGAATAGCTTTCTTGCCGTGTTACGTGCCACTACTCCCAGCGAGTTTAGCGTGCGTCGATATTCCGCATGACGGGCTTCTTCGTCTTTAATATCTACATCAGACGAAAAATAGAAGTTGCAAAAGCAGTGGAGTCTAATACACTTAGGAACATAATTAGACGAATACAACCAAAAAGGGACAAATTAGCTTAACAACTTGTTGAACTGTTGAGGACAAATGAACTAAAGTACCGTTATTGGACGAAATATAATCTTATTACATATTCTTCTGAAGGCCGATTTTTCAATGATCTGATAAAGTTATTCTCAAGATAAAATACAACATAAAAAATAAAAGTCATAGTTTTAGAAATGAAATAATTCCGATGTTTCATTAATAATATTCAGTTAGGTTATAATTTATTTGATGGATAACTTTCATGTTATGATAAAAGTAAGAAAAATCAAATCTTAGACTTATTAAAAATGAAGATCGTCATGTACAGTAAGCAGTATATTTAAGCGGAAGAATTAAAAAAACATATTATGCTCAAAATAATACTTAATGTTTTTTTTCGTTCCCATCTTTTTCTATTTTTCTGCCTGCTTTCACAACAGACTAACTATGAGTATTTTTTTTAAAACTAATGTAAGCTTTTAACTATTTTTTAGCTATTCTATTCAATACTATCCCACCTGATGTTAAGTGGTGATTCCACCGATGATGGTAAAGCGCATTGACTTAGCTTAACAAAATCCTAACCACTCTTGCCTTGAAGATAGCCACATTGTAGTTAAAACGATAATCAATAATCACATAAGTATAAAAAGTATGATGAGTAAATACCTAGGGCAGATATAAGTGCTTGATGGCGATCTTGTGGCACGAGAGATTCGGGCAGATCACGGAAGAATCGCTTGAGCACCCCGGCGACATCGTGCTCGGAATGCTGACCAGGACTCAGTTGCACCGACCACGCGTCCCGACGGAATCGTGCCAACAACTCGGTAAGCACGACACTACTTCCCGCGCGACGGTAGATGCCCTCTGATAAGCTACCTGCGTTAAAAGCATGCTTCAGTTATTTATATGAACGCTAATATTAGGAGTTCAAACTAATTAGTTAAGTTAATATAAAAAAATACATAACTGTCTATGAATACTGTGGAATAATGACAACAAAATTTTTCAATATATCACATAATAATATTAATGTAACAGGCCTGCATACAAGCCACATCTGTAGGCGATATGAAGAATTAGTTAAATAATATTCAATAGCACCTTGCTTTGTGTTTGCATCCCCAAACATTTCTTAGTTATGAAATACATAATAAATGTAGGACTATTTAAATTATGAAAAAAATAGCGTAAGCGTAGCAACTACATTAGAGATCTGCAACTTGGAGATAATTAAAGAAATATCAGATACTAAGAGTAAAAAGTAGTACTATTTTACGAATAAAAACTGAACTTTTGTAGAAAAAGTTAAAGAAACAAAGACAAGTAAAAACTATAAGAAATTGAGCTTTGAAAACAGTGAGTTTCAAAATAAAATTTAACGAAATTATTTATACCTTTACAAGCACTAATATGTTTACTCTAAATACTACATTGTGACCCTAAAGCTAAATTATAACAGAAGCTGCACTTCACCCTATTATACTTTAAACAGCACAAATATAATCTTAAATATAAACATTATAAAACTTCGCAAGCAACATTCGGTTACGGCGACAAGCAAGAGGCAAAGCATTCTATTACCATGACGATGGTTCAATAATAATAATAATATTAATAACAATTAATAAGTATTTTTTAATGAATGGGAAAACTAAGTATACGGATTAAACTTTTATATTACCATTTATTTTATTTACAATTTTATTTCAAATACTAAAGAATAGCGTTTCCTATGCGTATGCTTTAGATAAACTCTTAGCGATTGTATACGAGCTACTAAATTATCAATTATCAAATAAATTACTTACAATCTTACTCAATTTTTCCTTACCCAGAGGTCTGTAGTTAAATTATATGACTTTGAAGGCGAAATCAATAAATAAATGATACGTTAAACTTAGCACAAACGATAAATTAACGGCCGCAAACATTGTTTTTATTGTTTTAATATACATATTAAACGTGTCGCCGCCGCAGATAATAATCTGCCCACCAAACGACGTATCGCAGAACAAGGCAGACCATAGGAGCGGAGAAGAGAAAAGAAGCGCTAACAAATAGTTCTTTTCCCAGCACCATTCTGGCCCACTTTGCCTTCTTTCTTCAAAAACATCAGCTTTCTGGTCAACCTGTGAGATAGCCTCTGGAACGGTTTTTATATAATATATTTTTACATCTATGTAAGAAATAATAGTTAAGCAAATTATATAGACAATCCATCACTGAATTTCGTACCGTGGGTGTTGTACGAGACAACTATGGGAAATATAATGATGTCTTGACCTAGGAAAGATGATGGTATCTCTTTTGTATGTATGTATAATGTGTACTATGCTGAGACCGGCGATGTGGAAGAACCACCAAATGCGATCATTAAATCGCCTGCCAAAAGCGGCGCTAACGGCAAATATTCTTAAACTTGAAGAGACTCAATTGCAGCAATAAACTATTACAAACTTTTTATAAGAATTTTATAGTACAATATTTAGCTATAATAAATGTTTTTATATTTCATCCATTACATCCTATTAAAGTCCACTGCTGAAATTTATCAATAATTATAATAATAAAATACACAGAGCCGTTTTGGTTATGACCGAAGTACCTACCATGCGCGTAAATGAAGCTTATACACTTGTCCACGACAGTGGGGATGTCCTCTTTTGTCAGTTGTTGGTGGTGAATGTGAGCGCCATTGTTGTGAGCTGCCAGTTTTATCATATACCTCCAGCCCTATGGAAAATCATATAAATGAAAACGAATACTTATTACATTCTGTGGGACCAACAAAATATTTGTTTTTGATATGAATAAAAAAATTATATAATATGATAACTTTTTGTTCAGTACAGTATTTAATTATAAAGATGGAAGATGGTTCAAAATCGAGAATTTTACAATACAAAATAAATAATCCGATAAATTATAGAGCTGTTAAGCCAAACCATGGAACTGATAAGTTACCTTTAATTCCCTTTCGTGTGGAAAACGTAAGTAAAGAGTAGAATGAGGACAATCCAGCAGCAAGTTGCCGCTACCATCCGAGGGACACGCCTGTTTCGTCTCCTCGTCCGCCGCTTGCATAACTGTTGGTAAATAAAATTTGTTTACCAACTCTTTGATTACGTGGTAGAGCCATGCTGCAGTTATATTAGTAGTATGGTTGTAGCACGAATGGGTCGGCTCGACCGGGGAAGGACCACTCACACTCTCTCACAGAATACCAGCGTAAAATAGTAGCTTAATGCTGTTGTGTTTCGTATGGTGAATGTAGAGAACCGGAGACCTTTTTTACTGGAAACGAGGCATTCCATCTTAGTCCTCACGGGGACAACGCAAGTGCATTTTGATTCGTAATCGAGGATAGATGTAAATGTTTATGGGCCACAGCAATATCAATCAATAGTGTATGATAATATTTTTAGATCTAGGTATAATTATGTGCGCTCCATCGCCCTCCCTATTCCGTCTCCTTGTTTACTTTTAAGGGTTGTCTGGAACCTATATGAATATGTTCGTATATACTTATTTATTTTCCAATGTTAATTTTCTTTTGTTAAATTATTCTTGTGAGTACAAAAAAGAGTATTGTAGTTTATAATAGCATTTTAAATAGTTTTTTTTTACTATATTTAAATTAAAATCATAACGCAATATTATAATTTAAGTGACGTATGCACTTAGGTGGCACTTCTATTAAGGCACAACACGATTTTATATTCACTTTTATTCTGTTATACTTTTATATTATTTTTATTACTGTGTCCTGCCAAAAAAATGAATACAATAATAACAGAATTAAAGTTTTGAAAAGGGTTAAATATAAACTAACAATTCACTATCATTAAATTTTATATAATATATATCTTAAATTTTATATAATAACCTACTTAAAATATTAAAATTTGTTCTTTTGAATGTTTTAACGTGTATTTTAATAAATTAATGTATCCTTGTGTGAAGTTGATAGCTGTAATAGTGATTTTCAATTACTTTGTGTACAGGATATAATAAATGTCGTACTTCTCTTATATAAATATAAAAGTGATATAACTATTAACGATGTAACTGTGTAGACATCTGTTTAAAAAAGGAATTTAAAATATAATTTGAAGGTATTTTTTTTGCATTCATATAAGTAGTAATAAATTGTACATGATATGTTGACATTAGGCATGCTCATACGATGAGATTACTTTTTAACTTTTATTATCAATTAATTTTTAATATTTTATAGTTAAAATAACACTTTTTTATTCTTTTTAAAGACAACAAACTACACATTCTAGATAGGTTAAATATTACAAGAATCAATCCTTACACTGTGAATATAAAAGGTCTGCTAACCATTTATTATCAACGATACTGATATGCATCTAAAAATATATTACGTAATGTTATGCAATGAGCGTATCTTATAATAAACATAGTAACATGAAAAAGGAAATGAAAAATCTTTATTCAGTATCTTGTACATAGTAATATAACATAGGTCGCAACATGCGATACATGAACAGGAGTAGGATACACCATAACAACATTGTAATAACGATGAAAATAATATGTATCAAAAACAAATGAGAAAATGATAATAGTATTGTTATAAAGGTGGAAATAACAAATAAATAACAGTTAAGAAATAATTAAGAATAAAATAATTAAGAGAGGTTTTAATATTAGCGTTACGTAAAAAAGTTAAACACGGATCAAGAAAATTGACTGATAAAAATGTTATCCCATTTGTACAAAATTAAAAAGTGCGAGGGAGGCACTGAAAATTTCAGAAATCAAGGAAGTGCCACAACATTACTATTTAAAAATGTATTTATTGCTTTTCGAAGTATTCTCCGCGAAATTTGACACATTTTTCCATACGATGGAACCAATCATTGAAGCAACCATTCCATTCGGAAGTTGGGGTCTCCAAAATGGCCGTTTTGTAGGCGTCTACAGCTTCTTCAGGTGATGAAAATCTCTGTCCACGCAATTTATTCTTTATTTTATGGAAAGTATAGAAATCATTCGGGGCTGTACGGTGGATGGTCTAATAATTTTATGTTTTCTTGCTCTAAAAACTCTTTTGTTCTGTGTGCGGTGTGAGAACTCGCATTGTCGTGATGGAGGATGATGCGACGGTTGCAGTTCTCTTTAGGGAGTTCAGAAACGACCTGTGGCAAACAAATGCTAGCATACCATTCCGCATTAACCGTTCTTTGTCCCTCAAGAGGAATAGTCGTAACATGGCCGGTTTTGGAGACAAACGTGGCCACCATTTATTTTTGCAACACTCCGTGAACGAACAATTTTTGTTGGCTTTAACTCATTTTCGAACACCCAAACTCGTGACTGGTTTTTTGTTTCGGGTTTCGTACGCGTATATCCAGGATTCATCACCTGATACGATGTTGTATACAGCATTTGAGGATCCTGCGTGGAATCTTTCGAGAGTTCTGACGCACCAAGTAACGCGAGCTGCTTTTTGCTCTTCACAAAGCGAATGCGGTATCCATCGGGAAAACAACTTTTTTAAACCTAATTGTTCATGCAAGATTATTTGTATTTGACTCATGCCAATGTCTAAAGTTGCCTGAATTTCGCGGTATGTCACATGTCGACCTTCCTCAATCAGCTTACGCACAGCATCAACGTTTTCTTGGGTGACTGCAGTTTTTGGACGACCTTGACGGGGATCATCACTGAGCTTAACGCTGGTTTGCTGAATTTCAACGTGGACGCGTTAAGCTCTAACGCGTCCACGTTGAAATTCAGCAAACCAGCGATAAATTGTGGTTTTGGATGGGGCTTCATCACCAAATGCAGAAATCATCCGGTCAACACACTGTTTTTGTGTTAAACCACTTCGAAAGTCAAGTCATAAATCAACGCTCTTGAATTTTCTCGACTCAATTCCATTTTCTCGACGACTAAACAAGTTTGACAAAACCTTGTGACAAGACCGAGAATCTTTTTTTAATAAATAAATGGTATTCAATTTTTAAAACCAAGGAGTTTTCAATTAAAAAGATTTTAATATGACAGGAACAGTGAAAATATTCCATTCCCGATACTTTTAGTGCAGCCTAATATGGAATTGGTATGATGAATGAGAGAAAGAAATATTCGAGCGTGTGAATACGAATGATTTAGTTGCTAAGTTTCGTCAAAATTAAACTAACTCTATCTCCATTTTTTTATATTTCTTGCTCTTACAGTGAAACTTAAATTTATATTAATACGTTTACTTTTTTTTCAAATGCTAAATAAATATATTGTTACAACTTTTATATTAACTTTATTAAACTTTATCTTTTAAATTCTATATTCATTTAAGCTAAACATTTTTCTAAGAAGTCTTGAAAAGAAATTAGTTTTCGACTAATAAATAAATGTAGTTAGTTTAGTTTAGTTTGCGACGAGCCGTTTTCCGCAACTTCACGTCTAAACGCGTATTTTGCATGTCATAATGTGATTATTCGAGCCATGAAAACGTATTTTAATAATGCAATGTAACGATCTTAACTACATAAATAAAAAACTATACTTTTCAGGTACATTTCACTTACATTTTTAATAGAACATTTTGTAAGTTATGTTGAAACATTTTTAATAGAACATTTTGTAAGTTATGTTGAATTAGGTATGTATGTGTCGTGTGTACGATGTAATTGCAAACCTATCCTTACAACAAGCGGTGTTCACAAACCGCTTACGCGGCTGTGATTTCAAAATATGTTTTGAATTACGTTGCATTTCATTATGTTCTTTGTTCTGTTCATCCTAAAATGAAATGTAATATTTTCGTTGTTACATATATTTATTGAAACTTTAAATCATGTGCTTTTAACTTTTATAAGTAATTATAATTTTCTGAAAAATGGAAAGTAATAAAATAAAGTATAAATGAATGAAGTATAAAAGCATACAATTATAAATATAAATGTGAATAATATATACGTAAAGGTAGAGTAGGTACTACCTCATAAATGCATACGCTAATTAATAAGTGACTAAATAACTCAGTATCTAAGTATGGTAGAATAATGTGTCGACCAAAATAATATACGTTCGCGAATGTTCATCTGATTATGTCAAATATTATGCACCATATCACACATATGTTTAACCATTATATATATTATAGGGGGTTTGGTCAGCGGCCCTACTCAAGCTAAGATGAAAGTTAAGTATAATAGATATAGGTGTAAGATTTTTAAATTTATTTTAACTTGTTATATATTATAAAAATATATTTCGCTTTTATATTTTCGTCAGTGATAAGTGCAGTGTAGCCACCATCACAGTATATATAAATATTAATTGTAGCTGTTAAGAAGTCTTAAACTGGGCAACACGTCTCCTTCATTGACACCTTTCCAACATTACAATAGGATAGGAGGATAGGAGCTTGCGGAGTACGGCGCGCAGCTAAATATTCATATTAATTTTAGGTCTCTCAGTAGCGTAGTCATCCAATAAAAATCATTTCGTATCAAAATTAGTGATGCAACGAATACGAATACGAATATTCATATTCACCGAATAGTAGACATTTACCGAATATTCGTATTCGGCGAATACTAATCACCAATATTTAAAAAGTAATATTTTTATACGCAACTCTAATTACTGGCAGACTTGGAAAACGCGCGTCGTCGACGCGAGAAAATACGACGTGAGCATAGGCCCTTAGATGTAACAACGGAGCTCCCATCCAATGTGTCCATTTTCCAAGGCTAAAAAAACTCGGCCAAAAATATTTTTCACTAAAACTATGTATAATCGCCCCGGAAGGGCTTTTTTCAAATTGAAAAAACAAATTGCGTAAAACCAGAAAATCCACAAATTTTATGTTTTCTAAATAAAAACTTTCCTATCGTAAAATCGTCATGAAAATCATCAAATGAATTAGTTATTTATTACCATGGCGAGATATTCGTATTCGTATTCGCCGAACAATAGGTTTAATATTCGTATTCGTATTCGTAAAAGTAGTATCCGCTGCATCACTAATCAAAATCAAAGACAAAAATATGTGATTATAAAATAATTTTACAAAAATATGTGATCATAAAATAATTTTAACGTAAAATAAAATTTTCACCCGCAAATATCGTAAACTAATCTCTTTCAGTCGTAAAGTTTTTAATACTTATAAGTTGTACAGACTATCTCATTTGACACGATTTTGAAGATTATTTTGATGAGCTTAACATTTACTATAATTTTTAGACATTCTTGTTATCAAAAACTAAAACTCTCGAGAAAAGAAACACATTTTGATTTAAAAACACAACTTTATTCTTACGAATAATCCGATTTAGAAAAAACAAATATCTATTCAATATTAATGTAATGTTCATCAATTATCATTCATCATACACCAAAATAAGTTATGATGTAATAAAACGGGAATAAGATTTTTTTATTTTTTTATTACCGCATCGTAGTTTGATATAAAAATCTCTTTTAAACCTAACACTTTAATATATCCTTTTTTGCGTAGGAATTCGCCCGGGCGGTACCGCCCTCATCCATTGTTCTTTTCCAGATTTCTAGAAATAGATTTAGTAATCGATTTCACAATCTGAATTCGGATACAGAACCGTCTGCGTAAAAATCTAAAAACGCCTATGCTCCTAATTAGGTACTTGTGCATTGGCTACAATGCACACTATAATACACTACAAACAAGGCAAACTATAAGTCAATTATATGTATATAAATATGTACCTATTCAGATTTTTTTCGTTTAGTAATAGTTCAAAAGATTACATAATGTGTTTAAATATTCAAAATTTATGTGGCAAACAAAATATTATATAAAAACCAGCGGTCCCCGGCTTCATACGGGCGATTACTGGGATCGCGACAACAGTGGCACCTACCGGGTCCAATTGTAAATCTCAACTATTAAACACACCACACACACACACACACACACACACACACACACACACACACACACACAAAATCATCATTAAAATCGGTCTAGCGGTTTAGGAGTTCAGTGACAAACACGCCACAGAAGATATATATATATATATATATATATACTAGCTTGCCAGGCATACGTTGTTCTGCCTTTTTCAACGACACTTTGTCATGTCTTATTAAAAATGCTTAAATTCACAAAAAAATTGTGGGTCACTCATGGGCAAAAAAACTATCCTATCTCTCCAAACTACACACGAAGTGCAAATTTGATTAAAATCGGTTAGTAGTTTAGGAGTCCATCGCGGACAAACAACGTGACACGTAATTTATATATATTAAGATATATAAACGAAATACTAGTGACTGATTCATCACGATGTCTCTAAAACTGTACATCCGATTGACTTGAAATTTAGAATTCCTTTCACAATGTTGACACTTACCAAGAACGGATTTTACGATAGCCCCATATTTTTTTGTTAATATTTTTCTTTTTATACAAAGTGCAAAATTATTCATTACACGCATTTTATTACCCTAATCAGAACACGAATATCAAAACATCTCTTTTTTTTTTCTTGATTTCGTAAAGATTTTCACAAAATCTATTGGTCATTTACTATTATAATCTAGTATCGTGCGCCCAGCGAACTGAGCGGGTAACAGCTAGTATAAATATAAATAACAAAGTATACGACGCCAAATAAGCACCTTTCATAACAAATAACACTATTATAATCCTATTTTTAAAACATAATATTAAATATATTAAATTATTCCATAACAATCCCGCATGACGGCCCGTGTGATCTCCGTGGTTTACGCCACGAATACATCATGCCATTTTGTCCCGAGGGTGAGATATAAACATTTAATGACTTCAGATAGATGATGGTATACCCAATTCGTTTACGCAGAGTATAAAACTGCCAGACCGAAGGTATGGTAGCAGAGTCAAATTTTCGACACGTCCTGTCATCGTCAATCCGCCTGCGGAAATCCTCTCTTCACAGGGAGGGGCTCATGAGTGACAGAATGATGATGATTAAAGATGAACGACGAATATATAAATAAGTTTACGTACCTTGGAGTAATGCTTCGAAATGTTGAATTTCCTCATTTCGCAAGAAAACTACTAAGGACGAAAAATGAAAAAGTTACAGTTTTCCTAAACGACGCGAAAGCCTCTAAACGCAAGTATATGATCTACAAGAATTAAAAAGGAGAGCGGATGGGGGGATAGTTACTTTAGTTTAATTATACAAACTTTAACGGCAACAAATACAGCAAGAAATTATCACACGGCGGCAATGGATAAAAAACCATTTGTCAAATGATACAGAGAGAAATATTTTTATATACAGTACGAAACTAATGGAGAATATCTGAAACCTGAATGATTTCTCCAAACTAACGAATAACTTTTGTTTAATTAAATGCTGAAGAATCAAATATACAAGCATATTGTCAAATGAGATAAAATATCAAGCAAAATCTAAAAACTAGTAAATGACAACAGGTAAATGTTTTCACAGTTAGCAAGTCGCGATTTACGGGGAAAGCGGCGGGAAAATGATATATTCAGTCGAAATTCAATGGAGGCGTCGCGTCGGCTTGCGTCTAGATGCTAGCACTAAAAGCCCAGATATCAGGGATTCCCTAGGGCTAGGCGGGATGGTGCGCGCGGCGAACACCCCCATACCCCTTACCTCCCCTATGCGTGATGCAACTGCACTCAGTTTACACTTCATAACATTAAAATCAATAAAGCTGACAATGCGTATTGACGGCAATTCCACGACCGGGCCTTTAAAATATATATTTTAGGGCTGATTGTTAGTTCGTCAGTTAAATGTTATCCATCGAGTTAATTTTACCGGTCTAAAGTAAAAAGTGATACAATTGGACTTTTTTACTCATGCAACTGTAAATATTTTATATTTTACGCTATAAGTAAATCTTACATGAGAACTGAAAAATCGTCCTTTAATGTGACACAATTTTTTATTAACTCATCGCTTGAAACAAATCATTAAAACTTTATGTTATTTAAAACCAAAATACACACGACATATAACAGCTAAAACAAAATAAAAAGTCAAATTTCTTCATTCAGAATTTAATATAGTTTAAGTCGCTTGTTTACGTCTACCCTATACGAAGAATATTTATATATTTGTTAATTTGTCTCAAAATAACGTCTTTAACGATTTTGATTAAATTTCCAATGGCAAGAGCTTCGCTCAAACGCACCGGAGTGCACGAAATTCGAATCCTACAATGTAGTCAGTTTTTAATTTAAATTATTTCCTTTTTTTGTATTCTATGCCACACACAAATTACACACAATAAGTTATCATTAACTAAAAAATGTTTTTGTTTACGGAGTTACAATCATTTTGGTGATTATACGTGTACTTTTTAAACGTGAGGTCGAAACTATTTAACAAAAGAATTAAACCTCCGAAAAACTAAAAGTAAACCTTCATATCTAAGTTTTTAATTATAATGAAGGTGTACCTAAGTATATTTTTTAAATTATTATGAATTTTTAATTAACCTTAATAACTAAGTTCTAGTAAACTAATGTAAGTATACCTAAGTAATTTTGATTCGGCGTCAAACAAGCAAATTAATTAATTAATTAATATAATGTATCGTTAATTTGATTTGGTTATTTCTTTAAATTTAAGGTAATTTAGTGATCTTTGTTCATTGGGTTCATAAAAAACAGGGGGCACTATTTTCACACCCTTATGGTAAAATATTTTTTTCCAAATTTATATGGGATCAATTTCTAGGGTTATATATAGTTATATAGTATATAGTATAATATAGGATATACTATAGTATAATATAGGATTTATACCCTATCCAATAAAATAAGAATTGTCAAAATCGGACTACCCTGTAATAAATCACCCCTATTTTCTTACCCTTACGGTAAAATTTTTTTCCAAATTTATATGGGACCGATTTCGAGGTATACCCTATCCATTAAAAAAAGAATTATCAAAATCGGACTACTTTGTAAAAAGTGATGCGTGGTCATACTTAAAAAAATATACGCGTCGATTTGAGAACCTCCTCCGTTTTTTTCGTCGGTTGAAAATTGATTGACTACATTATTTTTATAGAAAATCACTGCCACCTACCAGAAAGGTCTGAACACCGTCCGCCGAGACAGCTAGTTTTTACAGATATAACAATACAGTGATCGTCATACATATTTATACATGCCAGCTTATCTTACGGCTAAAAGCCGAAATATGGACACACCTAAGTTTCGCCGTCTACAACCAAATGCATTCAAACGTATGTTTTGTCTTGTAAAAAGTTAGGTGTTTCAATTTATTTAATGTCCAAAAACCCTTTTTTTATAGGAAAGGGGGAAAACTAGCATACGGTCCAACTGATGATAAGTGATTACCGCTGCCCATGAACACTGCAACACCAGGGTAATTGGAGATGCATTGCCGGCCTTTTAAAAAGGAGTAGGCTCTTTTCTTGAAGGTATCTAAGTCATATCGGTCCGAAAAAATCTCTGGTGGTAGTCGATTCCACAAGAAGTTGTGCGAGAGAAAACTTCTTTTAAATCGTACGGTGGTGGACCGCCAGTCATACAGATGGTACGAGGGCGGCACTGAAAATTTCGGGAATCAAGGAAGTGACACAATATTACTATTTAAAAATGTATTTATTGCTTTTCGAAGTATTCTCCGCAAAATTTGACACATTTTTCCTTACGATGGAACCAATCATTGAAGCAACCATTCCATTCGGAAGTTGGGGTCTCCAAAATGGCCGTTTTGTAGGCGTCCACAGTTTCTTCAGATCATGAAAATCTCTGTCCACGCAATTTATTCTTTATTTTATTGAAAGTATAGAAATCATTCGGGGCTGTACGGCGGATGGTCTAATAATTCTGTTTTCTTGCTCTAAAAACTCTTTTGATCTGTGTGCGGCGTGAGAACTCGCATTGTCGTGATGGAGGATGATGCGGCGGTTGCAGTTCTATTTACGGAGTTCAGAAACGACCTGTGGCAAACAAATGCTAGCATACCATTCTGCATTAACCGTTCTTTGTCACTCAAGAGGAATAGTCGTAACATGGCCGGTTTTAAAGACAAACGTGGCCACCATTTTTTTTGCAACACTCCGTGAACGAACAATTTTTGTTGGCTTTAACTCATTTTCGAACACCGGTCCGTACGCGTATATCCAGGATTCGTCACCGGATACGATGTTGTATACAGCATTTGAGGATCCTGCGTGGAATCTTTCGAGAGTTCTGACGCACCAAGAAACGCGAGCCGCTTTTTGCTCTTCACAGAGCGAATGCGGTATCCATCGGGAAATCAACGTTTTTACACCTAATTTTTCATGCAAGAATATTTGTATTTGACTCATGCCAATGTCTAAAGTTGCAACTTTACTGCAATTTTTGGACGACCTTGACGGGGATCATCACTGAGCTTGACACGTCCACGTTGAAATTCAACAAACCAGCGATAAATTGTGGTTTTGGATGGGGCTTCATCACCAAATGCAGAAATCATCCGGTCAACACACTGTTTTTGAGTTAAACCACTTCGAAAGTCATAATAAATCGTCGCTCTTGAATTTTCTCGACTCAATACCATTTTCTCAACGACTAAACAAGCTTTTTTTAAATAAATAAACTGTATTCGATTTTTAAAACCAAGGAGTTTTCAATTAAAAAAGATTGTAATATGACAGGAACAGTGGAAATATTCCATTCCCGATACTTTTAGTGCAGCCTAGTATGGATGGTATCGCGAGAGAAATTGTGCGGCTGGAATTAGTCCGAACAATTCCTCAGAGCACTCCCCGTGGTAGATGCAATAAAATACGCAAAGTGATGCAACATCTCTTCGCAATGCCAGTGAGTCAAGCCGATGGGAAAGAGCTCGGTCACCAACGATTCGAACAGCTCTGCGCTGGATGCAATCAAATGGAAGGAGCTGGCACTGGGGAGCCACAGTCCAGAGATGGGAACAGTATTCGATGTGCGAACCTGCGCCTTGTAAAACTACAGGCGGTGAGCCGGCATGAAATAATGTCCCGCTCTACTGAGTACGCCAAGCTTTTTTTTTAAAGAGACTAATTTGGCCTTATATTCCAAGTGACCACGAAACTGCACGTCACTCGATATATTGACGCCGAGGATTCCGATACTGTCTGAGGCAATAAGGGGAGTGCCTTGAAATTCAGAAGATACGACGAAGGGGTTTTTTTAGCGGTAAACGTGCAAACTTGTGTCTTCTGGGGATTACACTGGACTAGATTTAGTCGCCCCCAGTCCGAGACTTTGTTCAACCAAGTTTAGACTTCAGACACAAATTTGTCCCGGTACTCAGCCGGTGTATAAAGCTTCACCAGTGCTGTCGTCTGCATAGCAATGAATGTTACCGGTTTGTTACATGTCATTGATATGCAGAAGAAACAGCGTTGGTGACAGCACGCAGCCTTGTGGAACGTCAGCGTTAATGGGATTGTAATCGGAGCATGCACCGTCTACTACGACCTTGATGCTCCGACCAGCAAGAAAACTGGTGATCCAATTGCACAATTTCTCAGGAAGCCCATTGGAAGTAAGCTAAGAAGCGCTTTGTGAAACCCGATCGAAGACCTTCGCTATGTCCAAACTAACGGCCAAAGCCTCCCCCTTGGACTCTAAAAAATCTAGACCTAGACCTAGAAAATCTTTGTTTGCTCGCTTACTGGATAAAATCTAAATAAGTATATATATATATATATATATATATATATATATATATATATATATATATATTCATAGCACCTATGGCAAATATCCATCATATGAGGCAATTTATGTGAGGATGCTTATGTGCAGCTGACTTTAAAATACAGAAACGGTAAATCAAATACTACATACATAGATACATACTTACGCCTGTCAACCAGAGGGGTAGGCAGAGACTACGGACTTCCATTTGGCAGCATTTATTCTACTTTCGTGCTTCTTCTGCCACACCCAGCTTTTACTACCATACATTAAAGTAGGGACTAACACAGCATTATGAATTACCATACGCGCCTTTTTTGACACATTCTGATTCTTCATAATAGAGTGTAATGCCCCATTCACTCTATTCCCTGCATTTAGTCGTCGTTCTATATCCTTATCATATCTACCATCCCTGCTAAATACACATCCCAAATACACAAACTCATCCACTTGCTCAATTAACTCTCCTTCTATTCTTATTTCACATACCGTTTAGCTTTCTGCTCTTTCAAAAACCATCACTTTCGTCTTACTTGCGTTCACTTTCATTCCCCTTTCTTTTAATGCCCAGTTCATTAATGTAACCATCATTTGCAACTCAGCCGCCGATGACGCAAATATGACTTGATCATCGGCATACAAAAGGCATTTGACGGTTAACTCGCCCATTCTTAACCCATATTCTTCATCTTTCAAACACCTGTCCATAAATAGGTTGAATAGTCAAGGGGAAACTACACACCCCTGTCTGACACCTTTTTGGATACCAAACCAGTCCGAGTAGACCCTATTGATCCTGACACAAGCACTAGAGTCCCTATAAAGAGACCTTAATGCCTGTATCAAACACTCTTAACTATAAACAAGTGCAATCAGCTGCACCTAGAGGTAGCCGGCTATACTAGACATACCCGCATTTCGGTTTTGGTCGTGACATATTTTTTATAGAATAAAAGTGAAAAAGGGCACACAGTCCACCTGATGGTAATAGGATGTTGCGATCACGTTTATCCTCGATTATGAATCAAAATGGGGACTGGATTTGTTGTCGCTCCTGATTACTAAGATGGAATGCCTCGTTTCCAGTAGTCTTTTTCTCTATACCAACTATACGAAACACAGCAGCACAAGTTGCTATTTTTTTACGCGGGTATTCATTGTGTGCGTAGTTTTTTGCCCGATCGAACCGATTCATTCGTACTTCAACCATAAAATAGCTGTAGCGTAGCTCTACCGTGTAGTGGAGATGTAAGAATACCCACTACCCCATATTGTCCCGTGGGTGTCGTAAGAAGCGACACGGGTAAACTGTAACAGAAGATCTTCCTGTAGCTGATGAACAGTTGCATAAAAATAAAAAATCAACCCGCCCACCAAGCGTGGCAACTTTGGCAAAATCCTCCCTATTAGGCAATCTATGTGGGAGCCCTATGTTCAGCAGTGGACTACTGTAGGCTGTAACGGATGGATAGATGGTTAGCTTTGCCACGTATAAAATGTATGACTTCTTGTGTAAAGTATCCTTGTTACTAAAGGACAATATTATATGCAATTAAGCTTACCGACGCATCTAGTCTTCCTTAAGTCTACAGTGCACACGCCAGACTCAGTGCTGCAGCAGTAGACCAGAACACGACGAATCAACATCAGCCACGCACCGCGCCATTCACCGCTCACACCTTCCTAACGGTGAACAAAAACAACTTATTATAGAAGCCGCGTTTAGAAAACATCTGCGTATATTGGATATACGAGTAACTACTTATGCTTGCCGGATGAACTAACGACCGACGTTAGGTTTTACAAGTTATATAACTTTTCATATGGATAAGGCCTTTGAGATCCGGGTGTGTACCATTAAAATGGTGATGACGAAAAGATATGTATTTATCAGAGCAAGGTTATTAGATCTACACTCACTAACTCGCTTGATCAACGTGCTGAGTAATGACAAATCATTAATCTATCATAAGAAATACATGCCAACCGGCCCATTCTTGGATAAACCTTCGGTTTCTAGTGGACTTTCAGAGGCTAGTGAGCTCGTAAATGACATTATTTGTTAATTTCTTTATTATGTGGGATATTTTTTAAAGAATTTTTAATTAATACGAACCACGACCATACGACCATCAAACAGTGACCGTCACTTTTCTAGGGGTAAGTTTTCGTCTAGGGCATTATGTAGGTGTCTCGACGCGCACTACGCGCTGACGATCATTGAGTTTGTGGTCACCCATTTATCAAGCTTTTTTACCTTGCCAATATGACGCAAGTGGGTCAATATTGTTTAGATGCTAACGTCGAAAGCTGCTGCTAATTTAGCCGTAGATTGAGTATCATCAGTTTCTACAGTCGCCTTTAATTCGTCATTATAGACAGTTTGGTCGTCCACGGCGTTCATTTTAACAAATTTTTGGAACGGTAGCGAACAAACCAACATCAGGTAGTACGTTCGTATGTAGTATTCAATCCGCAAACGTCTTTGATGATCATTCGATGGTGTTTACGCCATACGTAAAATATTCAGACTGATGACGAGAAGAAGCGTAAAAAATGCGAAGTGTCTAGTTTTGTGATTTAGAGTTTGAAGCAAATCCCTATACCAAAGTCCAGGCCCAAGTCCAAAGTAAACTTTTGCGCGCTGATGAAGAAGAAATATATATATATATATATATATATATATATATATATATATATATATATATATTTGTGTGTAACGCTGAATGCGCATGGTATGTACGTTTTTGGAACGAAGTTCCTTATCGCGCGTTGCGAAAGGGAGCTAGACGGAAAAAATTAAGACCAAAAGTTGTAACGACACTTTTTGCTATAGTTGTAAGCCGTGCGCGTGTTTCTATGTCTCTCTCTCTCTTTCTCTCTCTTTCTCTCTCTCATAGAAATCTCATAGAAAGCAAGCCAGTTAGTTTCGTTTCGTCTTTCTATTTCGCATTGAACAGTGTGGTGTCGCGACGATTATTTTTGTTGATACACTCAACAGGTTTTTTGTACATAGTAAATAATAAAAAATAGTAACAATAATGAATCCTGACAGTGTTTTTACACAAGTTCCAGATATTGCTGATGGAGTTAGGTAAGTAGAGATTTTATACAGACAATAATAAATGCTTATGTATTTTAACAAGTACGCATTATAAGCTCTCTTTACTATAGTGCTAACAAAGTCATACGCGTTATAATCTTTCCATTATTGTGTGTTTAGCAAGTGTACGCGTCATAACTTTAATAAATTTAAAAGCAAATTATATTTTAATATTACAATAGCAAGCCGTGCGTGTTCTAGCCTTATAATAAATAATATATATATATATATATATATAGGAACTTCGTTCCATACGGGTGTCCCTTGACACCTCTCAAGTTTTTTGTTATCAAAATACAATAAAATCTTTTTGTAATGAAGTAAAACCACTAAAACAAGTAATTTAACATAATAAATAAACAAAAACAAGTATTATATTGAAATGTATAATGAATTTTATTGGAAATAAATTTACGACAAATTCCATGTAGTGAAATGATTTAGGTTATTGTTAGCGACGCTGCTTCACGCGAAGCGCTTGTCAATCGTTTTAGCTGGGGATCGAGGGGAAAAGAAGTATAATTCTGTCTCCAGATCCTTCAAAAGTTATTGCCAAGGCAAGTTCTAAGCTCATTGGCGGAATTGGAGAAAAACTAGTTCGCCTTCCTTGGAGAACCCGTACATTCTGGTCTCTTGCCAAGGAAACTTTTGTCAGCTATCTCTTCCACCTCTGCACAGAGAGGTCAACTCACATGGCGTAGCTTGCAACTTTACAAAGCGCAAGTACGACCTCACATGGAATACTGTTCTCATCTCTAGACCAGGCACCCCAGTGCCAGCTCCTTCCACTTGACCGTATCCAGCGCAGAGCAGTTCGAATCGTCGACGACCGAGTTCTTTCTGATCCGCTCGATAAACTGGCACTGCGTAGCGATGTTGGATCCCCTTGTATTTTTTATCACATCTACTACGGTGAGTGCTCTGAGGAAATGTTCGGATTAATTCCAACCGCCAAATTTCACGAACGCACATCGCGTTCCAATTTACCATACCATTCTCACCATCTGCTCCAGAGCCACCAGATGCTCGGCGGCCTACTATTGTGCGTTTTACAAGAAGTTTTCTTCGTACAACTTCTCTGCAGAATTGTTTACGCCGGCGATTTTTCCGGACCGATACGACTTAGAGACCTTCATGAAAAAAGCTTACTCCTTTCTTAAAACCCAGCAACACACCCGCAATTCCCCTGATGTTGGAGTTGTTCATGGGTGGCGGTAGTTATTTACCATCACGTGAGCCGCATGCTTTGCCCCTCTTCCAAAAAAAAATTTTTAAACTTTTTTAGTTTTCTTAAACAAAAGATATGTTATATATTAAATTGATAAAAAGATAAAACTACATTATAATTTAATATGTTTAAAAAACTTACAGTTAACCCAGAAAATGTGGCACTTACTCGTATGTGTGTGATTTAGTTGCCAATAATACTGTGTACGAAGAGGTAATATTCTTCCTAAGTTAACTGTAAAATCTTGCGTAAAAACGATCTGTAACCGTCTGTAAATATACGATGATTTCTTACCTATTTACTACCCACACATGTCATCTAAAACTGAACAAATAGTTTGATAAGCTTCAACACTTTAACAGAATTATGGATAATAATTCTGTTTTGTTGGTATAACTTCTAAGTGTGTTGCTTATATAACAAATTTCAGAGCAATGGACTATTGGGCGGCGCATAACATCGCCGATCACTGGCCTCTATATATGGACTGGCTATATACGCCGTGATATAATGGGGCGATTTGACTTTCAGCATTTTGCCGCTGACAGCAGAACTGAACGTCCTCGGAACTAATAATAGAGATAAGACAGTGTGACAAAATATATCGATAAAAATTCTATACCCAGGCCTACCCATCCATGATGTTTATGTATCAATTAACACAATTCCATACAATAAATAAATGCATCAATTAATACGTAGGTCTCAGACGGAAGCTTTATAACTCATATAAAACCAAGATCGACGCTGCGTTGGTCTATCTACGTTTTTATAAATCCGCGGCCCCATTACCGCCGCCCAAGAACAACTAAAACACCAGCAGAATTGCAGATGCCTTGTCGGCCTTTTAAAAAGGAGTAGGCTCTTTTCTTGAAGGTCCGGAAAAACCTCTGGTAGTAGTCGATTCCACAAGGAAGTTGTGCAAGGAAGAAAATTTCTTTTAAATCGCTTAGTGGTGAGCCGCCAGTCATCCAGATGTTATGGATAGTATCGCGAGTTTTGTCACGATGTGCGATGGTGAGATTATGCGGCTGTAAATAGTCCGAATAATTCCTCAGAGCACTCCTCGTGGTAAATGCGATAGAATACGCAAAGAGATGTAACATCCCTTCGCAGTGCCAGTGAGTCAAGCCGAAATCAGAATGAGCTGAGCAGAAAGAGAAAAACAACATCAGAAAGAGCTCGGTGACCGACGATTCGAACAGCTCTGCGATGGATGCGATCAAATAGAAGGAGCTGGCACTGGGGAGCCCCAGGCCAGAGATGGGAATACTATTCTATGTGCGGTCGAAACTGCTCCACGTACAGTTGCAAGCGGTGTGCCGGTATGAAATACAGACCCACTCTACTGAGCCCGCCAACCTTTTTAGAGGCCAATTAAACCTTCTCTTCCAAGTGACTACAAAATTGCACGACACTGGATATGTCGACGCCGAGGATTACAATACTGGCTGATGCAACAAACGGAATGCCCTGAAACTGAGGAGATACGTCGAAGGGATTCTTTTTAGCGGTAAACGCGCAAACTTGTGTCTTCTGGGGATTGATCTGGACCAGGATTAGTCACCCCCATTCCGAGACTTTGTACAACAAAGTCTCGACTTCAGACACACGTTTGTCCCGGTACTCAACGACGTTTTTCCGAGAAACATTGGCCCGGTCGGTGTATAAAGCATCACCAGTGCTGTCGTCCACATAGCAATGAATGTTACCGGTTTGCAACTTATCATTGATATGCAGAAGACACAGCGTTGGTTTTAGCACGCAGCCTCGTGGAACACCAGCTTTAATAGGCTTGTAATCGGAGCATGCACTATCTACTACGACCTTGTTGCTCCGAAAACTGGTGATCCAATTGCACAATTTCTCGGGAAGCCTATAAGGAAGGAAGCTTCATAAGAAGCGCTTTGTGCCAAACCTGATCGAAGGCTTTCACAACGTCCAAACTAACAGCCAAAGCCTCCCCCCTTGGACTCTATTGCCTTCAGATTCAGATGGCTGACAGAAGTTCTCTTGGACAGCCTTGGCGAGAGACCAGAGTGCACGTGTTCCCGAAGGAAGATGAACTAATTTCTCGCCAATTCTGCCGATTTTCTCTGACTTTGCCTTAACAATGACACTTTTGAAGGACCTGGTGGCGGAATTATACTTCTTTTTAAGAGTGCTGGTATTTGAATCCAACATCCATGACGTCGATGCGTGAGCCCCGACGTGGTAGCACTCTTGCTTATGGCATAATGCAAATTTGCAGGAGCGACCAAACCATGGATTGGTTCTGTCCCCGATAGTTACCTCAGATGATGGAATAAAAAGTTACATTCCCTGTAGTACCACCAGTAGTAGAATCAATAA